GCACATTTTAGTTTCATAATTTACTGTCCATTTTTATTAACACATTTTGTAAAATCTTTTGCCTTTATTTTAATTTAAACACTCTCAAACAGGCATGAACAGAGACGGATGTCGGCCTCGAAAAATGGCTTGACACGTGGCCAACAGAACGAGACTCCACGTAAACTCCTCACTGCCCACGATAGCACACCGTTAGTCACTCGTGGCTTTTTTCGATAGGGGGTGGAGGAGACCTCGAACACTCCGACGGTCAAGTCAATAATTTGTTCAACTGGAAGGTGGTGTCCAACGATGAAGTGGTCACTGGGGCATGGTCGAGAAAATGTGTAAATGTGATGAAAGGCTCTCTGGAGTTAAAGGCTAGTGCAAAGATTAGAGTGAGAACCCTTTATTCTTATCAGTATGAGGGTATTTATACTAAGAAAGTGAAGAGATAAACCGTTAGATGATAGGACACGTGGCTTCAGATCCCGGACGACCAATCTTTTCATAGGTGTCAATCTGTAGGTTGACGTACATTAAATGGTTCCTGACATAGCAGTTGAGTTAACCGTTTTGTAGTCTGTCACACGTCTTATCAATCAGTCAGATATTTAACTTTGGAGAGATCTCCTAAAAGATCTTGGCAGGGATGTGAAGAGGCGAATTGTGAGGCATGATGAATGGCGGATGAGTTCGGCTCTTCTACTGGGTGAGGTGATGATGCTTCAGTTCGGAGTAATGGAATATGTCCGTCCAATATGAATTCAGTTCATTTGCCATGTGGTAACACCAAAACAGTTCGACCGCATGTGGCAGATGAGGTGGATGGGAGAGGTGGAGGGTCTCGGAAGGCTTGTAACAGGTTTCTAGAATGATATTATAGATTATTTTCGCTAACTTGATGAATGAAAATTGAAGTTTTTTCGGGTTTTATTAACCAAAGTGAAGCAATATTATTGTCTGTTGGATGCTATTTTTGTTTACATTAGATTTTTGGGTAAATATTTTCCCTTTTTATGTTTTGCAAAAATTGTAGTTTCCAATGATAAAAATTTATGGGATGCATTTGCTGGAATAGGGAACGACAAATCGTTTGGTGCAAATAAATTATATTCCTGTTCATTTTCATTACTCAACAACAGGTAGTTACACCTAAACTGGAATAAAACTCTTTCCCAAAAAAAAAAAAAAAAAATTTGCAAGTTTGCCGACCAAGCTTTCAATCTCAAATGAAGTGCATTATGATGATTTAAGGTTGTTAAATACACTTTTTATTCGCACGTTCTAGTTTCATAATTTACTATCCATTTTTATTAACGCATTTTGTAAAATCTTTTACCTTTATTTTAATTTAAACACTCTCAAACAAGCATGAATAGAGACAGATAAAGTGGGGATATAGCCCAGTCCAGTCCCCCGCCAATATATATTTCTATTTTTTTATGTATATGTTATCTCATTTTTTATATTTTATGTTTTTGTAAATGGTTTTTGTCTTTATTAGTAATTAATTCTAGAGTGATGAATGGTAAATATTATGTGTATATTTTAATTGTTGAATTGAAAAATTATAAAGAAAATTATCGTATTTTTATGGTTAAACGATCAAATTATAGGAAAATAATACAAAAACATCGTGAATTATAATTTGGAAATCTATGCTTACCAAGTGTGAATAATATTGACATAGATATGAACATGTAAACGGGGACATTGATCGAGTGGGCTGTAAAGAAAATTGTAGAATTCTCCTTTTCAATGTTTATCTTTGATTGAATTAATTATATATAATAAAAAATGAAAATTAGAAATTTGTAAAATTTTAATCTTTTGTCATTAAATTTTATGATATTACTTAATCAATTGTGTTTTTATTCTTGACATTTTAAAGTCTTCATTTCATATTATTTTTTTGTTTTTTCTAATATTTAGATTCATGACCCTCAATGTTACTTTATAGTAAGTACTTCGTTTGCTTCCACTTCACTAATTTTTCATTTATTTTCTGATTACTATTATCAATAGTTCATATTTAAATGAAATTATTGAATTGTTGTGCATTGCCAATTTATTTATATGTAAATTTTATGACATTGATTTCTTAAATTTCAATCAACTCTACCAAAAATCCTGGATCCGTGCATGGGCATGAAGTATTCTAAACAAGGCAGCTCCATCAAGAGATTAAAGAGTATGGAAATACTATCTGCCAAACAAAAAATTGCTGTAGAAAAAACTAATTATTAAACTTCAAATAATCAATTGATTGCTTGATTGTAGTTTTAGTCCCCTCTCTGATGGAACAAGCTGTTGAAATACTTATATGGGAACAGTCCGTTTGTAGAGGTAACTCGTGCCGCACATGGATCTCCACAACGCAGCATGGGGTTAAAAACAAGCTGTTGGTTGATTTTTTAACTTGAAATCTGGTGTCCTTTTGGATGGAAAATTGCATCTTTTCACCATGTTTTAACACAATTTCGTGTAGTAATGATTGAGATCTATATATAAATGATTAATGACCAACACGAAACACATTAAAACTACTTGAGATCAAATTTCGTTCCACAAGAAAGATCGAAACCTCTTTTCTTTTATATTCAAAATTCTATTTTGTATTCTTAAGTTTTGAAGGAATTTCACTAGTATTCAAGTGTTTTTTTCCTTTTCAAGGC